ATTGTTTACAAAAATGTTATTTGAATTGATTTTTACTATTTATTTGATTTTATCATTAATTTTATTGATATTTAACCGCAAATTAATACCAAAATCGACGGCAAAGAGTGGACACAATGTGTTGATACTGACGGCACATCCGGACGACGAGACAATGTTCTTCGGGCCGACCATTATATCGGAAGTGATGGCCAACCGAAAGGTGTATGTCTTGTGTCTATCGAAAGGCGATTATTACGGAATCGGCGGCCGAAGAGTCCGCGAACTCGAGGAATGCTGTCGTGTATTGAATGTGACGGCCGTTGAGGTCGTCGACGATAATCGACTCAAAGACACGCCCAGCGAATGGTGGGATCAGTCGGTGATCGCCAAATACGTGGACCAGTTTGTGGCCAAACACAGTATCGACCGTATCATCAGTTTCGATGATTACGGCATCAGTGGTCACTCCAACCATCGCGCTCTCTATCAGACACTCGTTACCCTTAGAGCTGATCCCAAGTTTGCCCACATTTCGATGTATTGTTTGGATTCGGTGTCCATTTTGCGGAAGTACTTGTCATTCATTGATCTGCCGTTGAGTTTATGGTTAAATTCATTGTATAACTCAAACAATAGTGAATTAAATGTCATTTCATTTACCAATTATTCACATCTTGTGAGAGCTCTTCGTCGACACGACAGCCAAATGGTTTGGTTTCGACACTTGTATTGTCTGTTCTCTCGATATATGTTTGTCAACCATTTAAACGCCATTTGAATCATTTGTTCAGACATACAATCAATCACTTAATTGTCATTAAATGGTCTCTAAATTGATTTAATCATACCCTAAGTCAACAAAATGTGATTTTAATGCAAATCCAGAAAAATTTGTCATAACTTTTACTTTAATTCGTATATAAAATGTATTATTTTTACAATTATTTGATATTTTTATGAATAAAACTATATATTTATATAAATTAACTTTTAATTCAATTACAATTGAATTATCAAAAGTAATGATTAAATAAAGATAATCATGTTTAATGACGATGGTCAATTTAGATCATACTATCCGAGTTAACACCTAAACATTAAGGTAAATAAAAGCTGTTAAACATAAAAATATTATGCAATATATTAACAGCGATACACGTGTTGTGTAATCATAAATGTGCTATAATTTGAGTGAATCACGAATTTAATCATAATTTATAAGTTGTAATTAGATATGAAATTCAGTGACAAAATAATGTGTAAATTACTGTACAGTGAAGTGATTGAGACTAATAGCGAACCCTATGTTTGTGTATACAAAGCATTCAGTGGTGTCTCACATGTTGTGTGTGTTTTGATGATCACATCAATCAATGGTTTAATCATTGCTTCAATACAAACACCTCCTCATCACTGATGTCTTCGGTGTCCGCCCTTTACAGACG